CTCCACTCCAGGAACCCTCCGTTTGTTCCTGAGATTAAGAGTCTCTTATGGTTTATCTCCCTCTCTGGTTTTGTCTTGTATCATTTTTCCTCTCTTCCCCAGTGATCTTCTGCCTTGTTTCTCAAATTCCACATATCAGTGAGATCATATGATAATTGTCTTTCTCTGATTGACTTATTTCGCTTAGCATAATACCCTCTAGTTCCATCCACGTTGTTGAAAATGGCAAAATTTCATTTTTTGATGGCTGCATAATATTCAATTGTATATATACACCACATCTTTATCCATTCATCTGTTGATGGACATCTGGGCTCTTTTCTATAGTTTGGCTATTGTGGACATTGCTGCTATAAACATTGGGGTGCATCACCTGTGTTTTCTTAAGGCATTGTGGTTTAAATTAAAATCCATATGGAAGTAGTTTGTTTTAATGTGTCAGATACAAAACTAGCTTTATTTTCTTCTAAATATTAATCATTTCTCTTCATTAAACAATCAACAATCTCTGCCCCTTTCCCCGCTCATGTGCATGCTCTCTCTTTCTCAAATAAATAAAATCTTAAAAAAAAAAGCCACATTTATGACCTGCTAAATTTTTTTTTTTTTTTAAGATTTTATTTATTTATTTGACCGAGAATGACAGAGCGAGAGAGGGAACACAGCAGGGGTAGTGGGAGAGGGAGAAACAGGCTCCCTGCTCTGCCTGATGTGGGGCTCGATCCCAGGACCCTGGGATCATGACCCGAGTCAAAGGCAGATGCTTTAACGACTGAGCCACCCGGGTGCCCCTGTCCTGCTAAATTCTTACATATTTGAACTATTATGCTTCATTCATCTGAATATCTTATGGAGACAGTGTCAAATATTTTTAATTACTTGATTTTATAATACATGTTAATATTACATGGACCTGTTCACATTCATTATTCTGTAATTTTTTAAAAGATTTATTTGAGAGAGGGGGTGTGTGCGTGTTGCGGGGGGTGGAGAGGGAGAGAATCTTCAAGCAGACTCCCCACTGAGTGTGGAGTGGAGCCTGACTTGGGGCTCAATCTCACTACCTTGAGATCACAACCTGAGCCAAAATCAAGAGTCATTCGCTTAATCAACTGAGTCACCCAGGTGCCCCAATTATTTTGTATTTCTAAAAGTGTCCAAGGTATTCCTGAACGTTTTTTCTTCCAGATGAACTTTAGAATTGCTTGGATTTTTTTTTTTTTAAAGATTTTATTTATTTATTTGCCAGAGAGAGAGAGAGTACGAGCAGGGAGAGTGGGAGAGGGAGAAGCAGACTCTTGGCTGAGCAGGGAGCCTGATGCGTGACTCGATCCCAGGACTCTGGGATCATGACCTGAGCCAAAGGCAGATGCTTCACTGACAGAGCCACCCAGGTGTCCCTAGAATTGCTTATTAAAGAAAAACTTTTTGAGATTATGATTGGACTCGACTAAAGATAGAAATCATTTGGGGCTGGGTGCCTGGGTGGCTCAGTTGGTTAAGCGACTGCCTTCGGCTCAGGTCATGATCCTGGAGTCCAGGATCGAGTCCCGCGGCAGGCTCCCTGCTCAGCAGGGAGTCTGCTTCTCCCTCTGACCCTCCCCCCTCTCATGTGCTCTCTCTCTCTCATTCTCTCTCTCAAATAAATAAATAAAATCTTTAAAAAAAAAATTAAAAAAAAAAAGAAATCATTTGGGGCTAAATTACTTCACTGTGAAGTCTTCCTATCCCAGAGCAAGACCACATTGTACATGTATGAAGCCTCTCTTTATAGTCCCCATTGGTGGTTTTAGTTTCTTTCATATGGATCTTACATGTTTTTGTCCAAGTATATTCCTACCTAATTTCTGTTTTTTCTTTTAGAGTAGATTTTATTTTCTACTTTTTTATTGTTTTATATGAGAAGGCTGTGGCTATTATAGAACTATGTTTATTGACCTGGAAAGATGGTCTTTACATAGAAGGGGGAAAAATAACAAAAACGGTTTTTATTTATTTATTTATTTATTTATTTATTAAAGTTTTATTTATTTATTTGACAGAGAGAGAGAGCGAGAGAGGGAACACGGGGAGCGGCAGAGGGAGAGGGAGAAGCAGGCTTCCCGCTGAGCGTGGAGCCGCAATCCCAGGACACTGGGATCATGACCTGAGCTGAAGGCAGATGTTTAGCAACTGAGCCACCCAGGCGTCCCCAAAAATGGTTTTTAAATGTGACCACATACTTCTATTTTTGTTAAAAAATATCCAGACAGTTTCCCCATCTCTTAAGAAGGGTTGTCTGTGGTGTGGTAATAGAGATACTAGTTGTTTCTTATTTAGCTCGTATACATTTCTGAATTTTGCCGTCGTGCTCCACTGCTGCAGTCGTAAGTGTAGCTAATTCTTGGGTAGCGCCCACCGGCCCCCACTGTTCTAAGATGCAGGTATTTTCATTATGTAAAAGCATCGTTTCTTGTGTAACTGGGAGAAACCTCCCTATGTGTTTCTGAGCTGGTGCTGAAGTTTGAGTTGCAGAAAGGCATGAAAGGGAAGAGCTTGTTTTTTGTTTTTTTTTCCACTTTCCTGAACTTTATTAAAGAAAAAGCAATGATGGTAAATCTCGAGAACATAGTCAATTTTCTAGGATTCTTCCCTTGAAAATGTGACACCTGATTTCCAAACACATGCCAGAGTGTACACGGTTCCCAATTGTACTAAGTAGGTGAGAAGCTGAAATCCTCAAATGTTCATCTTCCAACTTTCCCCAGTCTGTGGTCTGTCTTTGGATCAGCAATAATTGCCTGAACAGCTACTATGGCTTCATGAATTTTTGTCTGTGGCTCTCTGAGCTCTTCTATATGCAGCAATCGCAGAATTTGAGCAGCTTCATTAAGAACTGCATCTCCTGTGTCAAAACCAAGAATGTGTTTGTCTAAAGCAACAGGCAAGTCCTCTTTTGTTTGATTTGCTTTAGCAACTGCATCCTCGGTCAGTTGCTCCTGGACCAAAATGCGAATTGCCTTAAGCATTACCAGGTAATCATCATGATGCTGAATCTGAAGAAGGTTAGCCAAAGCCATTACACCAGCTTTAAAATCAGGATTATTTACATCCAAGTTGATCAATGGCTCTGCATTTTTAGCTGCATTATCAACATTTTTTGTATTATCTGGTACCAAGTCCTTGTATTTTTCAGCATTATCTCCATATTTAAGTCTAACAGCTAAACCAAGAAGCCAGTCAATTGCTTCTTGTCCGTCTTGAATCTTGAAAGGACAGTTAACATCTTTGAGATACTTTTCAAAGAACTTGGGCCAGTCACTGCTGTGGATGGTTCTTAAATGACCTCTGTCTTCAGTCTTGTAGTGTCTGATTTTCTGGTCTTCAAGCCAAACAATAAAGTTTCTAAGTTCTGTTTCATCTTTGCAGTTGAAGCCAGCCGGGTTGTGGTAGTCGAGGGCCGTCAGCTTGCGTTGGAACATGGTCCCCGCGTCTCGCTCTGGTCCCCCGGGCTTCGGCCGGGAGAGCAAGAGCTTGTTTTTTAAGTGCTGTTTTTTATTATGATTTGGGGGCAGCAGGCTGTTCATCATTTGTGTTTCTGTGGAAATATGGTGACTGAAAGTGTGCACAGAGATAAAAGCTAATTTGAGGATGTATGATGTGTGTCTGCATAAATACACCCACGTGACATGATTTTAGTAGTAAGTGCCTTGAACATAGCAAGAAAGAGAAACAATATTCCAATTCTGCTACTTAACAGCTATGCAGTCACTTTAAAGATCTCTGCTTGCTTTTGGTAAGGTGGAGATTCTGTTGTCTGTGAGTGTCAAATTATAAAGTGCTTAGTATTTTCCCTTACATGAAGAAAGCATTCACATTCCTTTTATTATTTCATTTATTCCTCAGAATGCCACTGTTAAGTGGACCCAAAGGTCCACTTTACCTCACAATTTTAGCAAGTAAAAAAATGAGGCTTAGAAGCCAAGAAAGGAGCATGATTTGGCATATGGAGTGCCATTATGCAATGATTAAAGCATAATCTTCCAGAAATATATAACCTCCTTGTGTCGAACAACATAGCTTTAAACATATAATCCAAATATCAACAGGATTACAAGGTGAAATTTACCAAACTGTAATCTTATTGGGAGATTTTAACATACTTCCTTCAGAAGTTGATAGAGTTGAGGGGGTTATGGTCGACTTTCGTAGGGAGCTAAGGCTCATACAGATAAAGTTTGTCTGGTTTTGCCCAAAACCATGTAGCCAGTGAAGGGAAGAGTTGATTGAAACTCAAGTCTTTTTTTTTTTTTTAAAGATTTTATTTATTTATTTGAGAGAGAGAGAATGAGAGATAGCACGAGAGGGAAGAGGGTTAGAGGGAGAAGCAGACTCCCCGCCGAGCAGGGAGCCCGATGTGGGACTCGATCCCGGGACTCCAGGATCATGACCTGAGCCGAAGGCAGTTGCTTAACCAACTGAGCCACCCAGGCGCCCCGAAACTCAAGTCTTTTTTAATACAAATCACTTAAGCTCTCCAAATTCCATCTGCCTAAAATAGAGTTGTACTTCATTGCACCTGTGAAAGTGATGTATCCTGTAGTGTCCAGAGTGAGCAGTGGATGGATATCAGAAGTACTGTATTTCTGGTATTTCTTGCCGAGTCACAGACTTCTGCCCTTCTTTTGCACTATATCCTGTTCCTATCCCTGGGTAACCCTATTTCAGTTATATAGAAACACAGATGACCGTGAATGCCTGATTCCTAGCAAGAGGAGAAAAGATTTTAGGTGCAGCATGAATATATCCATCAAAGTGCATTTGTTCCTAAGTCCACGGATCCTGGTTACCCACAGATAAGCCTGCTCCTGTGATGTAAGGAAGGAGCTCCTGGAGCCAGGAACCTGCTCCCGGTGTGAGAGACCCAGCCACGGCCTTCTGGCGGAGCTCCGGCACAAAAGCAGAAGAGACTTGGGGTGGAGCAGAGCTCAGAGGTGCTACTCATCTTGCAACAGAAAATGACCATGTTACAGGTGAGGTGATTGCTTCTTTATTTTCCAGGGGATTAGAAGAGGTGTGTACGTCTTCTAGTGAAAAAAGTATAAGTAGTTAAATCAGGGGAAAATAGCCTCAGCATAGAAGGCCCGGGTTGGGACAAAACGGGAGCAGTTAGAACAGTGGGATCAGGGCGCCGGCTCCCTGCACTGTGGAAAATCCATGTGTAGCTTTCAACTCCCCCAAAACTTAACTCCTCGCAGCCTACTGTTGACCAGAAGCCTTACCAGTACGGGTGATAACACGTATTTTCTATGTGTATTATATGCTGTGTTTTATGATAAAGCTAGGGAAAAGAAAATGTTATTAACGTCATAAGAGAAAATACATTTATAGTACTATAACAATATTTATTGAAAACTCCACATGTAAGGGGACCTGCACAGTTCACACCCATGATGTTCAAGGTCCAACTTTTTAATTTTTTTTTTAAAGATTTTATTTAATTTATTTGAGAGAGAGAGCACAAGCAGGGGGAGCGGCAGGCAGAGGGAGAGAGAGAAGCAGGCTCCACACTGAGCAGGGAGCTCGCTATGGGGCTCCATCCCAGGACCCTGGGATCGTGACCTGAGCCGAAGGCAACACTTACTCGACTGAACCACCCAGGCGCCCCTTCAAGGGTCAACTTCATAGGACCTTGAGAAGGTCTTACGATTTTAACTGCTTTTGTTTTTTGTTGTTAGAGAGTGTGAGCAGGGTGGGGGGTGGGAGGGCAGAGGGAGAGGGAAAGGAGGGAATCTTAAATAGATTCCACACCCAGCACAGAGCTCGATGGGCTCGATCCCACAATCCTGAGATCATGACCTCAGCTGAAATCAAGAGTCAGATGCTTCAACTGAGCCACCCAGGTGCCCCTGAATTTTTGTAAGCCATAGTGTCCTACATAATTAATGAATTTGAGCTACCGACTTGGTTTTCAAATTTTTAGCAGTTACAATAAAGAAGTAAGAATGTTTCTATGTGTTGCATTATCCAAAGGTAAAAGTAAATTCTTCATAGAAAGTAAATATTTCTTGGTCATTCTTTGATGAAGTTTTTGAATAAATGATATAGTGTGGGTAATGCCCTCAGAGAAATGTAGTAAATCCATGGGTCTTACAGTCATTTTTCATAGTTTTCCACAGAGTGTGACCCAAGGGGAAAATATCAAAGTACTTAGTAATCCTAATTGCATATTTATGTACCTCTTTAATTGTGAGGCAGTATTCACATATGGAAAAGTACATAAAATGTAAAGGTACAGCTTAATGAATTATTATCAACTGCATACCCATGAGGCCGCCATTCAGGTCAAGAAGTAGAACATTCCCAGCCCAAATGAGGCCCTTAGCGTGTCAATCACAACCTCTCCCTCCTGACAGAGGGAACCGGGACCCCGACTTTTGTAGCCATTTCTGTGCTTCTCTTTCTAGTTTTACTCCTAAGTGTTCATCCTTAAACACTGCAGTTTGGTGTCATCTGCTATAGTATATAGTGATTTGTGTTTTGTTTCTTTCACTTAACATTTTGTTTATGAGATTCATTGCAAGTGCAACCTTCTGTCCAGTGAAGGCAGCTTCTTAATAACACCGAATTCAGTCAGTGTTCAAAATTCCAGTTGTCTCCTGAAACCCCAAATCGTTTGAAGTTTGGGTCAGAATCTGGGTGCAGTTCATACAGTGTAATTGGTTGATCTGGCTCTCTTAAGTCCCTCTTAACCTATTGGCTCTTTTTTCCTAGCCCCATTTAAAAAAAAAAGATTTTATTTATTAGAGAGAGAGAGATAGCAAGAGAGAGCACTGAGCTGGGAGGAGATGGAGAAGCAGGCTCCCCGCGGAGCAGGGAGCCCGATGTGGGGCTCGATCCCAGGACCCTGGGATCATGACCTGAGCCGAAGGCAGACGCTTAACAACTGAGCCACCCAGACGCCCCGAGGCCAGGTGATTTATTCTCTGGCTTTCCCACTGTCTGGGTTTTGCTAGTGTTGCTGGTGTGCTCTGTGTCTCCTGCAGTGCATAGATTTGGAACTGTGCTGTCCAGTACAGAAGCCGCCGGCCACATCAACTGTTTAAAATGATTAAATCTAGCCCCGAGTCACACTGGCCTCATTTCAAGTGCTCAGAAGCCACGAATTAGCACAGATAAAGAATATCTCCATCTTCACAGATCTGCTCTGGAGACTTGATCAGATTCAAGTGTGACTTTTTTTTGGCAAGAGTATTTCAGAGGTTTTGGTACATGGTCTTTCAGGAGGCAACTTCCATCTGCTTGTCCCTTTGTCATGCCAGCAACTTTATATGGTTGTTGCCTTGATGAATTATTTCATTAGAGGCTATAAAGTGATACCCTGCTTCTACCTGCTCTTTGTTTCTTTTTTTCCCCCCACTTCTTTGTTAATTAATTAATTAATTGTTAAGTATTTTTTTAAGATTTTATTTATTTGAGAGGGAGGGAGGGAGAGAGCACAAGCAGGGGGAGGGGCAGAGGCAGAAGCAGGGTCCTTACTGAGCAGGGATGTGGGGCTCGATCCCAGGACCCCGGGATACTGATCTGAGCCGAAGGCAGATGCTTAACTGACTGAGCCACTCAGGCGCCCCTAATTAATTTATTTTTAAAAAATTTTATTGGGTGCCTGGGTGGCTCAGGGTCCTGGGATCGAGCCCCGCATCGGCCTCCCTGCTCCGTCGAAAGCCTTCTTCTCCCTCTCCTGCTCCCCCTGCTTGTGTTCCCTCTCTCACTCTCTCTCTCTCTCTCCATCAAATAAATAAATAAAATCTTTAAAAAAAGAGATTTTATTTATTTGAGAGAGAGAAGGTATGAGCAGGGGGAGGGGCAGAGGGAGAGGCAGACTCCCTGCTGGGATGTGGGGCTCGATCCCAGGACCCGGGACCATGACCAGAGCTGAAGGCAGACACTGCACCGGCTGAGCCCCCGCCCCGCCCCCTTGCCGTACCGTACTGAGTTTTGTTATCAAGGTTATGCTTGTATCAAAAAGTTTAGGGTTGTGTTCTTGCTTCCATATTCCATAGTTGTTTATTAAAATAGGAATTATTTCTGCATTAAATGTCTACAAAATTAACTAGGAAAGCTGTTTTTTTGTGAGCAGACTTTAAGTTAGAGATTCTATACTGTGGCTCCGCTCAGTTTTAAGAGACGACCAGCTGATTAGTTTTGGTGCAGTATTCAAGAAGAATATCCATAGTTAACTAATTATCATTGTTTGTAATATTTTAAAAATTTTCTTCATATGCAGTCCTACCATCTGTGGCAGTTTTATCTCTTCCTTCCGATAATTTGTACTTTTTCCTTGCATTTATTGTACTGGCCAGGACCTCCAGGGTACCTGTTGCCCCCTCCTCTCAGCCTGCCTTGTTTCTGTCTGGTGAATTCCAGTGCTCATTTATGACAGTGTGTGCCCTTAGCACCGACTCTGCAAGTTAAGGACACAGCCCCCAACAAGACCGCCCTCTGCCAGATATAAGTTCTGGGGTTCCCAGGCCACCTGCATTTCTGACCAACTGGCTACAAATTTGGGGGCTTCCCATGATCCCTTCAGGTTTGCTGGAACAACTCACAGAACTTACAGAAGTGCTGTACATACAATTACAATTTGAGTGTAAATGACACAAATTGGAAGCAGCCAAGTGAACAGACACAGAATGAGGTCTGGGGGGGTTGTGGAGGTGGACCTTCTGTGCCCTGTCCCCACGGAACCAGGACACATCACCCTTGTGGCACATATCTTTGTGCTTCCCAACCAGGAAGCTAACTTAAGGTTCTAATGTCCAGTTTTGTTTTTTTGTTTGTTTAGATTTTACTTACTCGCAACCGGGAACGGGGGTGGGGAGGGGCAGAGGCAGAGAAAGAAGCAGGCTCCCTGCTGACAGGGGGCCTGACGTGGGACTCCATCCCAGGACCCTGGGATCACGACCTGAGCTGAAGACAGACCCTTAACCCACTGAGCCACCCAGGCGCCCCTATACAGTTTTTATTGGGGATTCATTCTGTAGGTGTGATTTATTGACTCACTGGCCGTATGAGTGAACTCAGTCTCCAGCCCCCCTCCCCTTCCTTGACGTTGGACTCATATCATCCGACTCAGAACACCAACCCTCTAATCAGATGGTTGATCTTGACCAGCTGGTGCCCATCTAGAGGACTATCTAGGAGCCCACTAGGAGTCACCTTTTTTTGTGAGAAGCATAAACTCCAGATGAGCCCATCAGGAACTATGAAAACACTTCTGTCACTGGGGAAATAACAAGACTTTAACATTTTTAAGAGAAAGAGAGAGTGTGTGCATATGTCGTTGGCAGGGGGAGGGGCGGAGGGAGAGAGAATCCTAAGCAGGCTCCACACTTAGCGAGGAACCTGACATGGGGCTTGCTTGACCTCATGACCCTGAGATCGTGTCCTGAGCTGAAAGCAAGAGTCGGAGGCTTTTAACCAACTGAGCCACTCTGGTGCCCTCAAATAACAAGGCTTTAAAAGCTCTGTCCCAGGAACCTGAGACAAAGACCGGACAAATTATTATACAGTGGGTTGCCATTAGGTACCTGTGCTGTTTAATTAGTTAAACATAAGTAAAATTAAACGGGGAACTCTCTTACAGTCTTGGTAGGAATGCAAACTGGTGCAGCCACCCTGGAGAACAGTATGGACATTCCTCAAATAGTTAAAAATAGAACTATCTTATGATTCAGTAATTGCACTACTAGATATTTATCCAAAGGATACAAACAGGGGCGCCTGGGTGGCTCAGTAATTAAGCGTTTGCCTTCGGCTCAGGTCACGATCCCAGGGTCCTGGGATCGAGCCCTGCATCGGGCTCCCTGCTCAGTGGGAAGCCTGCTTCTCCCTCTCCCACTCCCCCTGCTTGTGTTCCCTCTCTTACTGTGTGTCTCTCTCTCAAATAAATAAATAAAAAATTAAAAAAACAAACAAAAAAAGGATACAAACATAGTGATTCAAAGGGGCACCTGCACCCCAATGTTTATAGCAGCAATGTCCACAATAGGCAGACTATGGAAATAGGGAAATAGCCCAAGTGTCCACAGACTGATGAATGGATAAAGGTGTGGTGTGTGTACACACACACACACACACACACACACACAGACACACACACTGGAATATTGCTCAACCACCAAAAATGAAATCTTGCCATTTGCAACAACGTGGATGGAACTAGGTGGTATTACGCTAAGTGAAACAAGTCAGAGAAAGACAATTACATGATGGCACTCATGTGGAATTTAAGAAACAAAACAGATGAACATAGGGGAAGGAAAGGAAAAATAAGATAAAAACAGGAAGGCAAACCATAAGACTCTTTTTTTAATTAATTATTTTATTTTAAATTTTTTTTGAAGATTTATTTGACATAGAGCACAAGCAGGGGGAGCAGCAGGCCGAGGGAGAAGCAGACTCCCCACTGAGCAGGGAGCCCGATGCAGGACTTGATCCCAGGACCCTGGGATCATGACCTGAGCTGAAGGCAGATGCTTCACTGACTGAGCCACCCAGGTGCCCCCCATAAGAGACCCTTAACTCTAGGGAACAAACGGTTGCTGGGGGGGAGGTAGGTGGGTGGATAGGATCATATAATTGGGTGATGGGCATGAAGGAGGGCACTTGATATAATGAGTGTAGGTGTTAATGTAACTGATGAATCACTAAATTCTATCCCTGAAACTAATAATACAGTACATGCTAACTGAATTTAAATCAAAAATAAAATCCGTTCCTAGTCACCTTTGAAGTATTCAGTAGATGTTTGTGGCTAATAGCTATCTTGTTGGATGGTGCAGATACAGAACATATAAGTCATCACAAAAAATTGTTTTGGACAGTGTCCTTCTTGTCTTCTGAGAGCCAGGATTCACAGTTTCATCATTAAGTATGATGTAGCTGTGGATGTTTGTAGATTATAATTACAAGTTCTGTTACTAGTTTGTTGACAGTATTTTACAATGAAGACATTTTCATCATATGCCTTTTCCACATCTGTTGAAATAATGGTTTTTCTCCCTTACTCTGTTAATATGATTTATTGATTTCTGAATGCTAACCCCATCTTGCACTGCAGGTCACATTATGCTGTTTTTATACATGGCTTGATTCAATTTGCTAATTTTTTTTTTTTTAAAGATTTTATTTATTTGACAGAGAGAGACACAGTGAGAGAGGGAACACAAACAGGGGGAGTGGGAGAGGGAGAAGCAGGCTTCCTGCGGAGCAGGGAGCCCGATGCGGGACTTGATCCCAGGACCCTGGGACCATGACCTGAGCCGAAGGCAGACACTTAACGACTGAGCCACCCAGGCGCCCCTAATTTGCTAATTTTTGTTAGGAATTTTGATTCTGTTAGAGTTATTTGCCTGTGATGTTCATTTATTATGTTTTTGTTTGGTTTGGTCTGCTGGCCTTATACAGCAAGTCGAGAAGTTTGCACTCAGGAGGAATTTCTGTGAGGTTATTTTATTTATTCCTTAAATGATTGGAAGAATTTACCTCTGAAGCCACCTGGACTTGGAGTTTTCTTTGAAGGCAGGTTTTAAATTGTGGGGGTCAGTGTCTTTAACATTTACAGAATTAATTCAGATTTTTATCTTGTGTCATTTTCGAGTGCATTTGTTTGAATATCTCTTTTATCTAAGTTGTCAAATACATTGGTATATCTTTATTACTTTCATGTTACCCTTTTTAACAGTTTTTCTCAACTGTGACTTCAGTAGGGTCTACCCAGTTTATGTGTGTAAGTCAGTGATTTTTTCTGGTAATTTTATGTTGTGTTACCGTCATTCTAGCTTTAGAAGGTCTGCTTCATCCCAAGGGTACCTGGTGATTTTGCAGTCAGTCCCTGTTTCCACCCACAGCGGAGGCAACCACTGGTTTCCTTACTCTCATTTCACATCAGTGGGTTTGTATAACGTGTGTCCTTCCGTGTCTGGCTTCTCTCATCAGTGTAGGGTTTTGAAGTCCATCCATATTTTGGCACATGTCAGAAATTCATTGTTTTTACTAGTGTTCCATTCTGTGGGTGTTCCCTGTCTCTTTACTCGTTCACCACTTGCTGGGCATCTGGATTATTCACACATCCTGGTGGTTGTAAGTCCTCTCGTGGGGCAATTGTGTACATGGTTCATATGAACGTAGGTTTTCCTTTCTCTTGGGAACATGCCTGAGTGTGTCCTTACTGCGTTGTCTGGTAAAATTATACTTAACCTTTTTAAGAAACTGCTACAGTCCTGTAGTGTCAGAACCATGTTATATCATTGTTCAGTTCCAGTTTCTCCACATCTTTGCTAACACTTGTTATCGTCTGTCTTGTTGATTATCAGCATGCTGGTGAGTGTCAAGTGGTTTCTCATTGTGGTCTTAATTTGCTTTTCCTTAATAACTAGTGATGTTGGTCACTGTTTCATTGCTTCTTATTAGCCATTCCTAAGTCTTCTTTGATAGAATGTATTAAAATAGTCTACCAGTTTTTATTTTTATTTAAAAAATTTTTTAAAGTAGGCTCCACGCTCAACGTGGAGCTTGAACGCTTGACCCTGAGATCAAGCATCATCTGCTCCACTGTCTGAGCCAGTCAGGCATGTGCTGCCTACTTTTTAACTGTTTGTTTTTTAGAAGAGGTTTTCCTTTAAGTTCTGAGTCGTTTTTTTTGTTTTTTGTTTTTTGGTTTTTTTTTAATCGGAAATAGGATTTGCAAATTTTTCCTGTCTGTGGCTTACCATTTCATTTTTCAGTTGTGTGGTTTGAAGTACAACAGTGTTAAATTTTGTGTTGCTCCTTGGAAAGGGATGTGGAAACCCGCACTGCCTGGGCCGTCTCCTGTTGTAGCCGGGTGGGCCTACTGAAGACTCCAGCGGGAGATGCACAAACATACCTCAGAGAATGCAAGGGGAGACGACCATGTGTCATACTTGCAGGGATTCTCAACTCTTGTCCCCCTGAGTTACCTGCTGGTGCTCTTTGCACTGGTTAACCCTTTCACAGCAGGTCTCTTACCCTGAAGGCTCTGAGGTTTTTTTCATAAGAGAAAATGTTCTTATTTCACAGTTATTCCTGATGAATATTTAAGTTGGCTACAAAATCCTTTCAGCACTTTTAAAATGTCCTACTTTCTTCTGGCCTATATGCTTCTGAATAAGAAATCTGCAGTCATTTGAACTGCTTTCCCTGTAAGTGATGTGACTTCTTTTTTTGTCTGTATTCTGTCTCAGTTTGATCGTGGCATGTTTGGTTGTGGCTTTCTGCATGTTTATCCAGTGGGAGGTTCACTGAGTTTCCTGAATCTGCCAACTTAACGCCTTTTGCCACGTTTGGGGAGTCTGTAGCTGTCATTTGTTTTGTCCGCCACGTTCCTGCTTTTCTCTTCCTGGGACTCCCGGGACATACATTTGGTGTTGTATGGCAGTGTCCTGAGCCCTGAGTGAAGCGCATTTTTAAGTCTTTTTTTCTCTCATTTGCTCAAAATGGGTCTTCAGGTTCGCTGGCTCTTAAAGTGTATGATGTGCTGTTTAGGTCAGGCTTTGTATTTTCTGATGGTATTCTGGATTTTTTAGAGTGCATGTTTTCTGGTCCTCTCAGGAGGCTTTGGGATAGAAATCCGTCATGACCTAAAATCCACAACCCTTTCTGAGACCTAGATTTGGTTATGTCACTCCAATTCCATGAAATCATGGCTAGCTGTTGGCAACAAAAAAGTGTCTAGCTCAGGGGTGCCTGGTGGCTTAGTTGGTTGGACATCTGACTCTTGATTTCGGCTCAGGTCCTGATCTCAGGGTTGTGAGATTGAGCCCCGTATCAGGCTCTGTGCTCAATGGGGAGTCGGCTTCAGATTCTCTCTCCCTCTGCCCATCCCCTCCCCCAAGCTCGCTTGCTCTCAAATAAATCTTTAATTAAAAAAAGAAAGAAAAAGTGTCTAGTTCGTTTAACTACAGTCGGCCCCGCCTCCCATGTGGCCTTTAATCACTACCTTGCACCCTGTGATCTTGTCTAACTAAACTGTTTGCACCTCCTGAACTCTAGCAGTTTTGGGGTCTCATTGGAGCTGTTGGCTCCCAGAATGTCTTTGCATCCCCATTTTTGTGGAAAGCACTGCTAATTTCCTAAAACCCATCTCAAGCTTTACCGCTTGCAAAGAGCCTAAGCTGATGCTCAAATTGATCGCTTTTTTTTTTTTTTAAAGATTTTATTTATTTAACAGAGACAGCAAGAGACGGAACACAAGCAGGGGGAGTGGGAGAGGGAGAAGCAGACTCCCCGCTGAGCAAGGAGCCCGACACGGGGCTCCATCCCAGGACCCTGGGACCATGACCTGAGCGGAAGGCAGACGCTCAACGACTGAGCCACCCAGGCGCCCCTAATTGATCGCTTTGACCCACATTGTGTCCTCCCTTCATTTCTGCCTCTGCTATTATAATAGCTTATTTTATGAATAGGTGTGTATGTTTGCAGCCCTCTGCAGGGCTGTGCAGCTTTTTAGGGTGTTGTTTTGCTATATTTCTTTTGGTACCACTTTTCTGGTGCCAGAGTTGAGGTTCAGTACATATTTTGTTGGTGGTTCAGAAGATTTAATTGCCAATTCCAGTTGTCAGGTATTGTATGAATGGAGGGATGGAAGAGTGCATCGTGGCACTTTGTCCCAGAGATGTAATGCGGAGGAGACCGTCGTCATTCCCTGTAACTTGGTGTGACGAGAACGGTGTGCTCAGGCTCCAGTCCCCTCCCACGTCACATAGTGACCGTTGCTTCAGATTCACCGGCCTGTGCTCTTACAGGACACATTCTCGTTTGAAGATTTATCTGTGGACTTCACCCAAAAGGAATGGCAGCTCCTGGACCCCAGTCAGAAGGACCTGTACAAGGATGTCATGTTGGAGAACTATAGCAGCCTTGTGTCACTGGGTAAGGCAGTTTCCCGAGGACCACCTGTGGGGTCCAGCACCTTACTGTTTGAGTTGCTGAGAGATCTGTGGCTTCTGAAATCTCCAATGGTTTTGGACCTGAATTTAGGGGATTGAAAGTTCCCTGCACTATGACAGTAGGGAAGGCGTCTACATCTCACCCTCCAATAATGAAGACTTATTTTCATTGTGCAGCTCTGAAACTTATCAGGATGGTGGCGTTGGTAGCAATAGTGGTCAGCACCTAATGCAAGGAACTTACTGTATTTCACATACTCTTCACATGTGGACTTATTTACAGAGCAGTTTTGTGTGGCAGGTTTAAGTAACTTTCCCAAGGACTGACAGCTGGTAAATGAAAGGGCCTGGGTTTGAACCCAGGCAGACTGGCTCCAGAGCCTCTGAAGAGTGTAATGGTTTTGGATTTGGATTATAGAAGTCAAAGATTTTCATTTTTTATTTTTATTTTTTTTTTTAGATTTTGTTTATTTGACACAGAAAGAGATAGCAAGAGAGGGAACACAAGCAGGGGGAGTGGGAGAGGGAGAAGCAGGCTCCCCACTGAGCAGGGAGCCCGATGCGGGGCTCGATCCCAGGACCCTGGGATCATGACCTGAGCCAAAGGCAGACGCTTAACAACTGAGCCACCCAGGTACCTCAGAAGTCAAAGATTTTTAGACCCCAGTAGCCACCAGGGAGACCGTTGCCTTTGAGAATTACTCTGTTGATACACCAGTGAGTAGCTTCACTGTCCCCCTGATGCCAGACCTTGCTCATTCTTCAGAGGCCCTAAAGCCCAAGCAGTCGGGGCCATGGCTTTTGTTTTCCCCTGAACAGGGTACGAAGTTATGAAACCTGATGTCATCTTCAAGTTGGAGCAAGGAGAAGAGCCGTGGATCGGAGATGGAGAAGTTCCAAGTTCAGATTGTCCAGGTGGGTGTGAGAACCAGCCCGATGCGGGAGGCAGAAAGTCAGTCTCAGCTGGTCAGTGGGTTGACTTCTGTGATTGTGCTTTGCTTTGGAGAGCTCTCTTTAAGATCTGTAAACCTTTAGTGGTGATTCAGAACAGGTGACATGAGCTACTCAAATAAGTCACATTTAGATGTGGCTTCTTTGCTTGTAACTTAAAGCAAAATATTTACAGCTTGTCTAGGCCGTGAATTATTCCCTTTCAAGTCTGGGACTTTGACTTCTTGTTTGGTATTCTGACATGTTTAGTCTCCTTCTGTCCTCTGTTCACTTCTGCTCATACCTTCGGGAGGTTTCCTTTGCCCTCGTTTGGGCGTCTGATGCCTAGAGAAGTGCCCTGTGGAGCAGAAAAGGAAGTCCTCCCTTATTCCTCCCAAACAGTGGTCCTTTTCCTCCTCTTGTAAGATTGGCTTCTGCTGTACTTTACCTGTAGATTAGACCCCTTGGAGTGTATTGAATGTTCTCTCTTGCATTCTTATTATTGAAGTCTCTTGCCCTTTGGAAACGATCTTTTTTTTTTTTAAAAGATTTTATTTATTTATTTGAGAGAGAGTGAGAGAGAGAGCGCACGAGAGGGAAGAGGGTCAGAGGGAGAAGCAGACTCCCCGCTGAGCAGGGAGCCCAATGCGGGACTCGATCCCGGGACTCCAGGATCATGACCCGAGCCGAAGGCAGTCGCTTAACCAACTGAGCCACCCAGGTGCCCCTGGAAACTATCTTTTTAACTTAACTCCTCAAGTCACACTTAAAACTAGGCTTGATGGGTCTAGAGTCTTACCTTTTATAAGTGTTCTCAAATGATACCTTGTATTTCAGTTCCTAAAGCAGCCAGCTGTCTGGTCTGTCATACATCCCTACTCATCTGTGTGACACTGACTTCAGGTTCCCTCGGAAGCAGACCCTGAGATACGTATCTGAGTGCCAAGAATTTACTGTAGTGGGAGAAAGAGCAGTGAGGTGGAGGTGGAGAGGGAATGGCGGTGCGCGTGTTGGAAGGGGTGCTGACCCATGGCGGCTGCTGGGAGCCCCTGTAGGGCCAGGAAGCTGGTCACCCGCTAACTCCCATCTCTCAGGGTGTGAGCATTGCCCTGGGGGTGTCAACTCTCCAGAATGTCCAGAATCCCTGCATACAGACCAGGCATGCCTTGTGTGGCTTAAGGATTGTTTTGGGCAGAGAGATGTGGGTGCCTGGGGTAGGTCCCACAGTCTGCCCAGGGCGTCCCTGTGAATGTAGCTGAGGTAGCAGAGCATCTGTGGCCTCTTCCTCCGGGACCCACAGTCTGAGTCTGTGTAGGCCGTCAGCTGTTTACCCTTTCCCCCCACTTCATGGTCAACGCCATTTAAACGTTTCTCTGTTTTCACATGTAATATTTATTCTCTGCATCTGAATGTTTGTGCTTTATCTTATCCTTTCTGCATAAGCTCTGTTTTTGCTGCATTCGTACTCCCGGAATGTTCCTTGACTCTTCCAGCTAAATTTTTCTCACTTTTTTTTGGAAGTCCCATCCCAGACCTGATCACAGTGTATGTAATGTTCTTTAGTTGGTTGGTTCCCTGAGCTGTGTGCACACATAAACACAAGGTTTATAGTTTACATCCACTTATGTGTCAGACAATATTTATGCAATAAGCCCATTGTTTTAATTCAGGTGTTTTTAGCCAGGTGTGCCTTAGATTACCTGGGCATTTTTTTTCCCCAACAATAAGCATTATGGATGCATTATCAGCAAAATTGATTCAGTAGAGTGGTGTGTATGTAGTTTTAAAATGGAATATTCTAGAACTGGAGTTTGTAGTTTGAGAAACCTCTTGTGATTTTTATGTGCCCCTCATTCATTGATAGCGTCCACTTGAGTGACGACTAAAGATGATTAAAAATAAAAGACCTAGAAAACACCTTATAGAAACGTAGAAATTAGTGAAGAAGTTAAGACATTTGTGGGGCGCCTGGGTGGCTCAGTCTGTTAAGCACCTGCCTTAGGCTCAGGTCATGATCCTGGGTCCTGGGATCAAGTCCTGCATTGGGCTCCTTGCTGGGCAGGGAGCCTGCTTCTCCCTCTGCCTCTGCTGCTCCCCCCTGCTTGTGCTCTCTCTGGCAAATAAATAAATAAAGTCTGTAAAAAAAAAAAAAAAAAAAAAAGTTAAGACATTTGCATTTAGGTTTTGTTGTTTTTTTTTTAATTCAGGATTTAAATATTGGGACATTTATTCTTCACTGCAACATAGTCAAAGTTACCTAAACAAGGCCTGTTTGTCAGGGTCCTCAAGACCACCACATTCGGAGAGTCGCTAGGAGGACTCAGGGTATCGTTGTCCATATGGCTAAGACTTATTACAGTGACCTAATGACAGCTTCCTCACCAGGGAAAGGGCAAAGCAGAGTCTGGAGGAATCCGGGTGCAGGTTTCCTGTGCTGCTCCCTCCGTGAGGGTCACCCCAGCAACAAAAATGCAGTAATGTGTGTAGTGTTTCTGCCCAGGGAAGCTCACTGAAGACCCAGCACCGGGGACCTTGCCTGGCCACAGCAGCATTGCAGACTGCCAGGACAGCAGGCGCTCAGCACACACCACCTTCTTTGCACACAGTCCGGGCACAGGTTGCCCCTCTTATCAGCTGGGAGTGGTGGGAACACTGTAGAAACCAAGCTCCAAATGGCAGCCAAGGGCTACCTTCAGTTGTGTGTCATAGAAAGTTGAAGAGGTAGTGATGTTTCTTACTCTTCAGGTATTGTGCTGGGTGGTGTGGGTACAATAGTGAGCATTAGAGATCAGTTCCCTGCCAACACAGTGCTTACTTTCTCATGGGAGGATAAAAGTAATCAAGTTGGCAGATAACCAGGGTAAAGCCCAGACCCTGAAAGTTCTATTATAGAAATAAATGAGGTAGATGATAATAGGGTGGAGAGTTTGTGGCTCTGCTCAGGCTGCCATAACAAGATCGCACAGATGGGTAAACAGCAGCAAGCCATTCACACAGTTGTGGAGGCTGGAAGTCCAAGGTCAAGGTGCCTGCGTGATTGGGTTCTAATGAGCGCGGTCTTCCTGGTTTGGAGACAGCTGCCTTGTAGCTTTGCTGCCACGTGGCCTTTCTTTGTGCAGGGAGTGGGGGGTGGTGAGGCCTCCTCTTGTGTTTCTAATAGGGATACTAATCCTTTTGGATCAGGGCCCCACCCTTATGATCTCATTTAACTTAATTCCATTGAGATCCCATTTCCAAATACAGCCACACTGAAGGTTAGGGCTTCAACATAGAGTTTTGGGGGTGGGCAGGTAGGGGGGAACGCATAAACATTCAGTCCACAATATGGTCACGTAGAGAAGCCAGTTCTAGACATGAAGACCAAAGTGAGTGAGCTATGTGAATTGGAGGAAAGTGTTCCCTAAATGAATGACAGATATGAATGTATTAGGTCAGGAAGGGGCTTGGTGACCTCACAAAAACGGAAAGGAAGCCTTTGTGTCTGGGGCTTAGCGTGCCAGGGAAATAGAGGCTGGACTGTGTGCGAGACCTAGGTCATACATGGACTTGTAAGCACTAGGCAGGTGGTTAGACTGATTCAAGTAATTTTAAATAAAAATAGTTACCTGATTTACACTTTTTTAAAAAAGATTTATTTATTTGAGAGAGAGCACGTGTGAGTAGGGGAAAGGGCAGAGGAGTCGGGAGAGGGAGAGCGCGGAGTCCTGTGTGGGGCTCAGTCCCACGACCCTGAGATAATGACCTGAGCCGAAACCAGGAGTTGGACACTTGGCCACCTGAGCCACCCAGGAGCCCCCTGATTTACATTTTTAGAAGTTTGACCTAACTGCATTGTGGAAAATATAATGGGAAGCAGGGAAACCAGGTGGAAGGCTGTTTCACTGAGCTCATGAGCCAGATTGAAGTACGGCAGGGGAGTGGGGCAGAGAGTCGGGGTATCTGGGAGATACCACAGGTGACCAAACATAAAGCAGTCCCATCTTGCTAGTGGGAAAAAAGTAAAAATTTCCAAATGTGTATTTAGTCTTAACAATGTAATATTTAAAGTAATGCAAAGTTGTAAGTTTAATTTACAAATCCTTCATTTTCTGCTCTCACATCTCCCATTACTACTTTATTCAGACTCTTAACCTCCATCTCAAAGCTAATGTTTCTGTACTGGACTCTGATTTTAACTGCCAGACCTCTTTTTCCCTCATCCCCTATTTTAGGGTATTTTCAGTGAAAGAACATATGGATCTGGGGCGCTTGGGGGGCTCAGTCGTTGGGCGTCTGCCTTCGGCTCAGGTCATGATCCCGGGGTCCTGGGATGGAGCCCTGCCTCGGGCTCCCTGCTCCGCGGGAAGCCTGCTTCTCCCTCTGCCACTCCCCCTGCTCGTGTTCCCTCTCTCGCTGTGTCTCTCTCTGCCAAATAAATAAATAAAATCTCAAACAAACATACGGATCTTAAGGTTTTGTGCCTGAACAGGTTATGTGTTCCATGAAGTGGCTTTCATGGTAATAATGTTGAAAATGTGCTTGGAAAGTTCAAACTCCCAGAAAACTTAAAAATGGGGAAAAGTTCACAAACGATTTCTCATTCTTCAAGCTTGAAATGGCTTCAGTAGTTCCTCTGTCAAACCTGTTAATTTTCTGTCTTCTTCTTCCCATTAGAATGTAAACTTTGCAAGGTCAGGGGCTGACTGTCTCCTGTCCCCAGTGCCTCGCACACTCAGTCAGGGTGGAGGAAATCCACTCCTCAGAATATTGGATCAGTTCTTCTTCCACCCTCCTTTCTTTGTTCCTCTTTGGTCTTGATGAATTTTTTACATTTTATAAACCTAGATTTGACAACCAGAGGTGACTTAATATACTGCCTGTGTCTTATTCCTATTTGTAGCATTTTCTTTTCTTTTTTTCCCCCAAATACCCAGAGGATAGATCTTATACTTGGGACTGAGAGACAAAGCATTCATCCCCGCAAAGAGCATTGCTGGTTTTGTATTCTGTAAACACAACCATAGAAGAGGCGCCTGGGGGGCTCAGTCAGTTGAGCGTCCAACTCTTGCTTTCAGCTCAGGTCATGATCTCAGGGTCATAGGATTGAGCCCCGTGTTTGGGCTCCACACTCCTCGGGGAGTCTGCTTTTCTCTCCCTCTGCCCCTCCTGCTTTTGTGCACGCTCACTCTCTCTCTAAAATAGATAGATAAATCTTAAAAACATAACCATGGAAGCATTCACAGGGTTTTCTTTCTTTATAGAACAAGTCTTGCAAGTAGATGGTCACATGACATGGCACCAGGATAACCAAGAGAAGCTTAGAAATATGAAACAAGATCATGAATGTGATACATTTGGAAAAAAATTCAATCTGAGCATAAACTTTGTTCCTTTAAGGAAATCAAACAGTGAAGATGACGTAGATGGATTACTTTTAAAACATCACTTAGATTTACTTATTCCAAAAGCAGATTATGGAAAAGCGGAACCACACGGCTTAAGCGTATTTGATAAATTGTTTCTCCATACCAAGCCTGAGGAAACTAATACTTGGTTAAAATACTATGACTATGATAAATATGATAAAATTAGCTCTAAGAAGTCACAGATTATCATATATCATAGAACTCGTTTAGGGGAGAAACTCTATGAATGCAGTGAATGTAGGAAACGCTTCAGTAAGAAATCAAGTCTCATTAAGCATCAGAGCAGACATATAAGAGAGATCGCCTATGGCTGTGGTAAGTGTGGCAAAACCTTTCCCCAGAAATCACAGTTTATTACTCATCACAGAACTCATACAGGAGAGAAGCCTTATAATTGTGGCCAGTGCGGGAAAGCCTTCTCCCAAAAATCGCAGCTCACATCCCATCAGAGAACACACACAGGAGAGAAACCATATGAATGTGGTGAATGTGGGAAAGCCTTCTCCCGGAAGTCACATCTCATCTCACATTGGAGGACACACACAGGTGAAAAACCCTACGGGTGCAATGAATGTGGGAGGGCCTTTAGTGAGAAGTCAAATCTTATTAATCATCAGAGAATTCATACAGGAGAGAAACCTTTTGAATGCAGAGAATGTGGGAAAGCTTTCAGTAGGAAGTCACAACTTGTTACACATCACAGGACTCACACAGGAACAAAACCCTATGGATGTAGTGATTGTAGAAAAGCCTTCTTTGAGAAATCAGAGCTCATTAGACATCAGACAATTCATACAGGAGAGAAGCCCTACGAATGCAGTGAATGTCGGAAAGCCTTCAGAGAGCGCTCGAGTCTCATTAACCACCAGAGAACTCACACAGGAGAGAAGCCTCATGTGTGCATTCAGTGCGGGAAAGCCTTCTCCCAGAAGTCACATCTCATATCCCATCAGATGACACACACAGGAGAGAAACCCTTCGTATGCAGTAAATGTGGGAAAGCCTTCAGCAGGAAATCTCAGCTTGTTAGACATCAGAGAACTCACACAGGAGAAAAACCCTATGAATGCAGTGAGTGTGGGAAGGCTTTCAGTGAAAAGTTGAGCCTTACTAATCATCAGAGAATTCATACAGGAGAAAAACCCTACGTGTGCAGCGAGTGTGGGAAGGCCTTTTGTCAGAAGTCACATCTCATATCCCATCAGAGGACTCACACAGGAGAGAAACCCTATGAATGCACTGAATGTGGGAAAGCCTTTGGTGAGAAGTCAAGTCTTGCAACTCACCAGAGAACTCATACAGGAGAAAAACCATACGGTTGTAGGGATTGTGATAAAGCCTTTTCTCAGAAGTCACAGCTGAATACTCACCAGAGAATCCACACAGGGGAGAAACCCTACGAATGCAGTCTTTGTAGGAAAGCTTTCTTTGAGAAATCGGAGCTAATTAGACATCAAAGAACTCATACAGGAGAAAAACCATACGAATGCAGCGAGTGTGGGAAAGCCTTCAGGGAGAAGTCAAGCCTCATCAATCATCAGAGAACACACACAGGCGAGAAACCCTTTGAGTGCAGTGTGTGTGGTAAAGCCTTTTCTCGGAAATCACACCTCATACCACATCAGAGGACACACACTGGGGAGAAGCCCTACGGCTGCAGCGAATGTAGGAAGGCCTTTTCTCAGAAGTCACAGCTTGTTAATCACCAGAGAATTCACACGGGAGAGAAGCCCTACCAGTGTCATGAATGTGGGAAAGCCTTCTCCCAAAAGTCACAGCTCATTAATCACCAGAGAACTCATACAGTGAAGAAGTCCTAGGAATGGAGTCAATACTAGTCTTTGAGATCTCACTGTTTTGTACTTCAGAAAACACGGTTAGGGTAAACCTTTCAGATAAATAGTTGCATCACATTTATGTCCATCTGGGTAATCTTTTAGGGTATGAACTCTGAGGTTATGTAGGGAGAGCCTTCAGCAGGTTAACCTGTTCATGGAAGAACCCTGAGAGTAGAATGAGCCTGTGGGATGCGGTGGATTTCAGAACCTGTCAGACATAAAGTGGGAAGTGAACAGCAACGAGGAGTACAGTGAACATCAGAAAGCCTTGCAGAGGTCACACCTCATTTGCTGGTGGCAATATCCCCACTGGGGTAAACCCTAGTCCAGTAAATGAGGAAAAACCCCATGAACGCAGCAAGTAATGTCATATTTTCGTCAAGAAGTCAACAGCTCGTTGTGCATTAAGAAAATACTCGAATGAAGTTCAGTGAAAATGCTAAATGTGGGACAATCTTCAGCAGGTAATCCAACCGTATTGTATTTTGGGGGAATTCATATTGTGGGTAAAACTAACAATTTAAAGACCTTGGAAACATGTGCCCTTAGAAATAAGGCTATAAAGGGAAGCCATACATTTTTTTTATAGACGGGGTTATCAAAAATGCCCAATTCTAATGCTTGATATGTTCACTCTGAAGAATGAAGTTTTAAAAATATGTGAATAAATTGAGTCATTGAAACATCAAAATAAGACATTTCTCAGTGGTATTTATGGCTTATTTTCCTGTGTCACACAGTGTGTCTCATATTTTGGAATCACATATGCTAATTTAATTGCAAGCATGAAATGCACATACCATACCTGGTGGTGCCTCTGATGTCAGGACACACCATGTGCTGCTGGTTTTTCTGTTTCAATGATACAGTAAAAATGGCAACTAAAACAGCACATCTTACTGCAAAATACGCAGCTTAAGTGATAGCATCACATCCTTTTTCCTTACGGCTTGTTGGCATATAAAAGGGGTCTGTTGTTGGCTGACCTTTCTCTTCAGTTACAAAAGCCAACATTCTGCAACCTGAGAGAAACAATTTAAATAGAACCTGGTTAATAAGTATTCAAAGGCAGGAACCACAACCCAGCAATAGTGACTCATGAGTGAACAAAAGAAAGCAGGTGTGTGAACTCGTCACTCAGCACTCAGGCTAAATGGCAGTCGTGCAGTGCAAAGTCTTGTTCCCATTCGGCTTGGTGCCTTTGTGCTTCAAGTAGGGCATGTATGTTACTTCACTCTGATGAAATACCACGATGCTGTGTGCTATTATGTTTTTGGTGTTTCTTAAGATATCTTGTAAAAAAAAAAAAAAACTAGATGGAGAAGAAGCCAATTTAAGAGTCACTGTTCAGAAAATGTAAAATACAGATTTTTGTGGTGAGAAATATATTTTTGGTGTGTTCAGGGAAGCCTGTTTTGCCTTCCTGCGAATTTCTGTGACTACTGGATAGGTGTTAGGAATTAGGATTTTCGTTGTTGCATCATTTGAAATATATGTGTTTCACCTTTTGTCCCCAGTTGCATCCTTGACGTAGAGACTCCCGCTGTGAACCCTTCATGATGAGTAGGGTTTGCTCTGGCAGTGCATGAACCACCCTTTAGCGTAGGTAGAACTTTGCAGTGATCTTTACAGTGTTGCTTGACAAAGTCAACAGTATTCTGTGTATGATGGTGAAATTCAGAAAAGTCCAACCCTGACCTTGTTACCAGACTTGGAAAGATCATGACTTCTCTCATACACAAGTTGCTTTTATCAGTACGGTGTATTGCACCTTTGATTTTAGCAGTATTTTTTTCCCTTTAGTTACCAATTTTAACATTGTTGAAAAATTGGGACTTAAAGAGTAATTTTCTAAACCACTGCACCAGGTTAAAAGTATCTGAGTTCCCAAATTTGTATTCGTATTCAAATGTATGGACTTCCTACTCTTCTCCCTAATACCTGAACATGATTTTTATCAACTTCATTTCTAAGAGAATAGTGACGGGATGATTCTTTGTAGATTTTCCCATTTTTAAATTTTCATCTATCATGATTCTCTTCCCTAGTCCCAGAGATTGATTCATTAGTTCTTGGATTGAGTTTGGAGTCTGTTGTATAAAAGTGACCTAATTTTGCTCACTTCAATTCTAGATTATCCCATTTACTATTAAGTGGTTAAACCCAGTGCTTTCCTCACTAAATAATAGAACTTAGGCACTAGCCCATTGGTCTAATACTCAAGAGCAGGTTTTTTCCCTGAGTGCCAGGTAGCAGTCCTTAGGAGGGCTAAATGCTGGCAGCAGAGGTCTCATTTATCAGAATACCTTACGTGGAGGCCCAGCTATGTTGTGTAGAACTCACTAGGGACTCTTTCTGAAGTTAACAAGAGGGCTTTGATTCTGAAATTAGATATTTCTGGTGTTTGTCTTTTAAATTACCTTGGTAAACCACAAAACACATGTAACCCCACGTTTCCTCTCACAAATCCCACATCAGGAAGAAAACAGGTTTCAAAGTTAGGGATTTACGTGCAGCTTCCTGGAGCACAATAGGTTATGTTGGTTGAATGTGTAAGGAGCCCAGTGGAAGTAGCAACCCCTCTCTCCTCTCTCCACCCCAGTTCCCCCACTGGCCTGGAGACAGTCCTGCAGAGGATAATTCCTATTGTGTTCCTTTGACTGTGAATTTTGGGACCTGTCCCAGGAGTGCCTTCTGTTCAACCTTTATTTGTGGGCTTTGGTAATGAGACAAAGTTATCTCTGTGTGGATCCATGTGTTCTGGATATTTTAATTTCAAGATCGGCCCTTGTAGAGCCTGGGTGAAAGAAACCCAAAGAATATCTGATTTATCCAGCAATACCTGTATCAAATAGTAGAATATAGATCAGCAGGCATTTGGAATCTACACTTGAGGCCTCCCTCATTGGTTGCTTATTCCAGCAGAATATGCTCAGGTAGTTGATTTCACCAAACTCCTGAGTCTGCAAATACTGTACCAACAAGCTGGCCTGGCTCAAGTGTGGACGAGCTCACCCCACCATGACCCTCGTCCATATTCCACAGTTAGTAGTTATTTTAGATGCAATTCTAATTATGCACTTCTCTGTTGAAAAACCATGTGGCTAATTGCGGACTTAAAGTGTACTGTCCTCACCGTAGATGAGGACTTCTATACAAATCCAGCCTATCCGTCATTTCTGAATATCTTTCTTCCTACACAATACTTTTTTGGCCTCCTTGAACTACTTGCAGTTCCTTGAGGTTTCTACAGTTTAATGCTTTTTGCCAACCTTCTGTCCCTGAAATGCCCGTGTTCCTTGTTAATGCCTGTCCACACTTTATGAACATGCACACGTGTTTGTCACTGTGATAATATAACCATCACATGTCTTCCATTAGAAAGCTTTTGGAAAGCTGGGACTACCTTCTTTGTATAGTTTTAGCAACTGAAGCTGTAGCATCGAAGCGTGGGTGCTCTCGTGCCCGCCCCGCCCCCCCCCCCCCCAATGTGGGGAAGCATCGTCTGCAGAAAGAGACAAGAATGAAGCCATGGACAATCACGCTCCAGGATCTGCTGCTTCTGGTCTCGATGTCCTGGTTCACCGCTGCCCTCTGCCCTTTTCATGCCTGATTGTTGCATTCTTCTGTGAGATATCCCAAATATCCTTGTAATAAATTCTCATGTTTGCTTTGGCTCGTTCAAGTTGTGTTTGTTACTTAAAACCCAAATATTCCTCACAGAGGAGGTCAGGCTGTATCATGACTTGGATTCTGGAAGTGGACCCTGACAAGTTTGGAATGCAAGATGCTTATGGAGGATCAGCAGCTGTGAGGTGAAGGAAGGATAAACAGCGAAGGGTGGGTCAGAGGAAGAAGGCACAGAAGTGGTGGAGACCCTGGCCACACTGGTTGGGAGCTCTGAAGCAAGTGCTGCTCAGGAGTGACTCGTATGGGGCCCCAATGGTCAGGTCTCTGCAGCCCTGAGGTGTTCTTTCACCAGAGGCCTGCGGCCCTGAGAAGGGGATCATCCCGTGTCAGGCAGTGTTTTTTTTTGTTTTTGTTTTTTTTTTAGCTGAGACCAACTCCACAAAGGCCGGCCACTGGAGGCAGCCTGCTGACCACTCTCCCTGCCCCTGGGTAGCAAGTCCTTCCTTGGAGGGGGTCGGGCAGCCCATCTCTGTCACCACAGTCCAGCCCTTCCACTGTTGAGCCCCATTTTCCCAGCATTGGGTCTGTTTGAGGAGAGATTGAGGAAACGGGTCACTAGGACCAATGGGTCCCCACTGGTGGTGTTCTCTCTCACCGGGGAGCCATTCTGGGGCCTCTGCTGGCTTTGGTGGCTCACCTCCTTCCTGAGGGGTGTGAGCCATAGTTACCATGCCCTCCCATGACCCAAGTTGATGGTAAATACAAGAAGCACCTAGGTGGATCACCTGAATCCATTCATTCCTCCTCATCCTGTTGTGTAAGTAACCCTACCCCCTTGTGATGCATCAGGAACCCCGACAAAAAGAGTGACTCCTGACCTGCTGGCTCCTGGCCAAGAGGAGCACAATGCCCACACTATACCTGTAGCTTGCAATTAAGTAGAAAATTTGCTCTGTCTCCTGGTGAAAAGTGTGTTCCCTTTGGGGATCAAGACCTGTAACCCTGCAGAGCCCAGAGTTGTGGGTATGGGAAGCACCAGGTCCCCTGGAGGTATACATTGGTAATGGTGGTGGTGGTATGCAGACCTGTGTCTTCTGCTTTGGGTACACAGCACCACAAAAGGTCCTCTCAAGCTTATAAGCTGCATTTGGAAGGATGGCACCCTGTCCCTACAAAATACTGCTTCTGAGCTCAGCGTTAGCTGTAGCTGGACCCTCATGAGGCCATTCCAGCTTTCTACGGAAGGTGAGTTATGTAATAAATCCAGTGTACCCTTTTGTTCTGGGCATATTCTTGCACCCCTTTTGCTGCAGAGTGGTTCCTTCTGGTCTGATACA